TTCTTTTTCTTTTTTTTTTTTTTTTTATTTTTGGTGACCTCCATCAAAAAAGCGTCTTTTATCACGTTCACGCTTTATTCTATTATATTCTTCATTTGCGATTCTGGAAGCTAGGGTTTCGAGCAGCTGCAAAGAACATCTCTCTTGACCAGGGAATATTGATGATGAATTCCGAAAATAATAGCAAGGAGTTTGAAACGAATGTGAGTTTAGTTGCGTCCGAAATGTTGTAATTATCATAAAGGCGCTGTTGTGGGGCAACAGCGGCGTTTTTGCGGTGTTATGTATGGTTTATGATGTGTTTGCTTGTGTTATTCTAGTACTTGTCTTACTGTAGTGTTATTGTGATGTTATTTTGGTGTTATTCTGGAATTATTCTTGTGATATGTTGGTGTTATTGTAGGATTATGAAGGTGTTGGTGTAATGTTTTGTTTTGTTGAGATTATAGTGTTTGTTTGATGTTATTTTCATATCTAACCATGTTTAAAATATAATGCAAATTTGCAGTTTTGTGAGCCTGGAAATGTTTACAATGATCCAATTGTAAATAGTTTTCTTATGCACCATTATCCATAATGAGCGAGAAGCATATGAACATTTTTGTGCATATGCTCATCATATTAGATTTACTGTCTGAAATGACCATAGTAGTTTTTTGGTCGAACTCGAAGAACATTAAGAGGAAGGATTTTATATGTGAAAAGCTGGTCAAAAGCAAGAGGCGAAGTTCACTAACACGTTGATGTTCAAAAAAGAGGACACAAGGACTAATTGTCCAGTCATAGTTTGATATGTTATTGATGTTGAAGGCATCATGACAGTTAATAAATTTATAGAAAGTTATATCCACCCCTTGACGAAACCTGCTGATAAGCATCTTTTGCTTTCCAGTAGAAAGATAAATGAGATCAATGTAAATGTATTGAGATCGATGATAGAATCAAAGATTAGAGCAACGGATGCATTTAACTTCCATGTTATTGAAGTTGGGGGGTAAAAAACATGGAATATATGAAGAGAGATAAATGCCTTCAATTTTATACAAAGGGAAAGAAGTGATAGAATTGAACAATGTGATTTTAATTCTCTATTACAATTGTTCACGGAGAGACAAGCTAAGAATAACATGTTTGAGTGAGCTTCCAAATTGATGAGTGTGGTAGAATGATGAGCTTTTTTTGGATTGAGCTTTTTGGAGTGATTAGACATCCAGGCTTATTATGATTGTTATGGGGATGTCATAATTTTTTATACAAGTTGTAGGTTGCATAAGTATAATTTATGTTATGCTCCTTTTATTGGGGTTAACTACCTTTGACAAAAAGTTCTTTTTTTAATTTGTTTTTTATCCGACTAGACGATTAAGTTTTTCAATTCAAAACATTGATTTGTATAATGGATGACAAGCATCCAATAATAATTTTAACTGATCAGGATCAAAGAATGGCAAGAGTTGTTAAAGAATGTCTCCCACATACACGATAAAGATTATGCTAATGACATTTCTACAAGAAATTTCCTTTGAAGGTGCAATGTGGTATAGGTAGCAAGAGTGTGAATGACCTTTTTTTATAAATGTATGACCAAGTGTGATTCTGAGGAGTATGAAGAAAATAGGTCTGTAATGATTGAGAAAAAAAACCTACACTACAACGTTTGGTTAAATGATATGTACAATATCATACATAAGTGGTCAACAACATTCAATAAAAGAACATTTGAATTAGAATATTATCAACAAAAAAGTGAGTTCACAAATAATATCTATCATGGTGTCTCCAAGCCAACAAGCACTCTTATCGACCATTTTGTGGACTTGAAAATGTTATGGAATCATGGAGATGGAATGAGAAGGACGAAGATTTCAAATGTGCTCAGTCTGCAATTACGCGTGTGGTTAAAAGCAGCTCAGTTGAAGTGGGTAGCTTCATTTTATACGAGGAAGCTATACTCAATGTTTAACAAAGAGTTATTATATGGGATATGTGGTTTTATTGTGGACTTCTCTGAAGATATTGATTCAAAATTTTATGTAAAAAATTGGGATAATCAGGGGACAAACAAACCCTAGATTGTTAAATTTGACGTTTCTGAGATCACGTGCAACTGCAAAAAATTTAAAATGGGATTATTATTTTCTCACTCTCTATGAGTTTTTAACTTAGAAAGTATAACAAAGATTCATGATATATATTTCTTATTGTGATGATATGTTCAAGCAAAAACTGACATCTATAACACATTTGGATATAAACATCTCAAAGAGTCCCAAATGTTGAATGGTTCTTCAAGTGGCCTTCTATTTCGCTCATACGTTCAAAAGTTTGAATATCAAATTAGTATTAAAGCACAGGAAAATGAACTGGGTGAGCAATGTATGTTGGAACCATTGAAAAAATTATTAGTAGATATTGAAGACATATTAAGTGGGAAGCACATTAATCAAAGCAAAAATGAAAAAGAAAAAAAAATTACACCAAATAGAGAATGCAATTTGAATGTCCCATCAAAGTTGCAGCTAAAAGGAATATCTAATTCTAGATTAAAAGGGTACAAAGAAAAAGAAACAAGAGAGTAAAAGCTATATATTTCTACATTTAAAAATAGTTTTACTCGATGTAACAATATTTTTCTCTAACTTGAACCATGGTATACATGAAAGATGAAAGAAGCTTCATCAAGTCAATAACCAGTTATCGCATGCAAGGTAAATTTATTTGTAATATTGAATTGTCTCAATGAGGTATATAGTTGAAATTCAATACCATTAGACTATTTTTTAATTAAAATGTGTTCCTAAACATTCATTTGTAATTACTCCAAAATAGCAAGAATGCTTTACTTCGCAACCCATGAAACATATATCAACTTGTTAATACAGTCCATTAGTGAGCTCTAAGTGTATTATTAATTAGTTCATTTAATTGGAGTGCTTCATGTTTGGTCTACTCTTAATTTATGTTCTCTATAATAATTTAAAATATAAATTCATTTTTTAGTTTAGTAATCTTCAAGCATGTATGTGGCCATTTATACAATTGAAAAATGACTTATGGTCAGTCTATATGAGTTTTTATGTAAATTTGGTTTATTAATGTCTTTATACAGCTCATAAATATGTTCTACTGTAACATGTTCTACCATTCATGGCTAGATTAACAACTACAGTAATCTAATAACTTTAGGTCCCAATACACCGCAGTAACTCTCTAATAACAAAACAAAATCATGCCAATAGCACTGAAATAATTTTGGCTCCCAATAACACCATGAAATTGCACCATCAACGCTGTCGCAAAACCATGCCAATAACACCGTAGCAACTCCCTAATAACACTCAAAACAACGCCAATAACATTGAAATAATACCTCAATAGAACTGCAAAACAACTCGAATAACACAATTACAGAAAAACATGTCAATAATGCCACGGGTTCCCTCTGATAACATCACAAGACGGCCCCGATAACACTACAATAACAGACCAAAATTACATCATCAACGCTGGCAAAAACTACACCAACAACACAGTGGGAACTCCCGAATAACACCGCAAAACAATGTCAATAACACTGAAATAACACCTCAATAACACCGCAAAATAACACAAATAACAACATCTTAGAAAAATGCACCAATAACATCATAGGTTTTGTCTAATAACACCGCAATACGATCACAATAACATAATAATAAAACCCTGAAATTATGGCATCAATGCCACCGCAAACCACGCCAATAACACCGCGACAACTCCACAAGAACAACAAAACTACAACAATAACATTGAAATAACACGTCAATAAAGCCACAACACAACGTGAATAGCACGGCCTCAAAAACATGCACCAATAACACCGTGTTCCCTCCAATAGCACCACAATAACACCCTCAGAATTACACCATCAATGCTGTCGCAAAATCACCCCAATAAAACTTTTGCAACTCCTCTATAACAAGGCAAAAATACACCAATAACACTTCAATAATACTGTAATACAACATTAATAACATTGCCTTAAAAAAACACTCCAATAACACCACGGGTTCCCTTTAATAACACTGTAAGATGACCCTGATATCACAGCAACAACACCCCAAAATTACGCCATCAACGATGTCGCAAAACCACTATAATATCACCATGGAAACTCTCCAATAACACCGTAAAATCCCTCAATAACATGACAATAACCCCGTGAAATTACCGATGAAATCTCGCCGCAAAACCACTCTAATAACACCATGACAACTATTCAATAATACCGTAAAACCATGCCAATAACATCGCTATAACACCTCAATAACTCCACAAAATAATGCAAATTACACCATCATGGAAAAACCTGTTCATAACACTGTGTGTTCCCTCCAATAATACTGTTAAATCACCCCAATACTACCGCAATAACACCACCATCGCAAAACAACTTCAATAACATCGGGACAACTCTCCAATAACACTACAAACCCATGCCCATAACACTTCAATAACACCGCAAAATAATGCAAATTACATCGCTAAACTGCCCCAATAATACACTAATAATACAGTCATCACAAAACCACTCCATTAACACTACTGTGACTCTCCAATAACACCACAAAATCACCCTAACAACACTGTAATAACATCCCAATAACTTTATAAACAACACGAATAACACCATCACAAAAAAATGCCAATAACATTACGTGTTCCCTCCAATAAAACTACTAAACCACTCCAATATTACCGCAATAACACAACAATTGCAAAACCACTCCAATAACATTGCATTAACTCTTTAGTAACACTGCAAAATCAGGACAATAACATCGCAATAACACTTCTATAGCACCACCAAACAACACAAATAA